TTATTATTATTATTATTATTATACAAAATTTCTGCCTCCGAAAATATAGAGGTACGAAGACATAGTGCTGAAAAATTGATTTTCATATGTAAACACGGCCCTTTTATTCCCATTAGGGGTATTCAAACACATTTTTTCATTGCACATCTACAACATAAGACGAACCTACAAACAAAACTTCAGCCTCCGAAAATATAGCGCATGTAAAAATATTTTTATGTCGCATAACATGCTTGAGAGGATTTTCGTTGATACTCGAGTGACAAAAACAACTGGAACCCGAATTGATAATTTGTTTTCCAATTTTGATGACCATAAACTAAGAGTTAATGTTATTGATCCATTTCTATCTGATCATCATGGAATTGTGTTCACAGTGAGAGGTACCTTGCAAAAATGTAATAATAGTTTCGTATGCCGTCCTATGACGAAAAAGTCAATTTCTAATTTCACTACTGCAGGTAGTGTTATGAAATGGCAGAGATCCAATAATATTCCTGATGAATTGGCTACTTATATTGTTAATACCATGTCTGACATGTTCAATTATCATTTTCCTGTTAAGCAAATTAATCCTGAAACTACAGATTTTAGTAAGCATGTTGAAACAGCTCCTGAAATTAAATATCTTAAAAACAAGCTAGATGCAATACAAATCATTGCAGAAGCAACAAGGACTCGGATAATTTTGCACTTCTCAATAAACTAAAGAAGTAATATAGAATACTTATTAATAAAACAAAAATCTTCTTGAATGACAAAATAATATCGGATTCTGATAATAGACAGAGGGCTTCCTGGCAAATAATTAATAAACAGCGCGGTGAAAACAATAATGTCAACAAAAATAACATATTACCTGACGATTTTGCCAACTTTTTTAATGACTATGTAGATAATCTGATGAAAACTATAACAAACTTCAATCACAGTCATCTTGAAATTTTAATTATGAAAATTCCTCTCAATACTTCAACCTTTTGGTTGCATCCCACTGATGATATGGAAATTCTGAGAATTGTCACCAACTTGAAAAATTCAAAAGCTGCTGACATTTATGGATTGCATGCCACTGCAACTAATAATTAAGGACATCGCAGCACCTTTGGCTAACCTTTTCAATGAGTGTATGTGTCAGGGAATATTTCCCGACCCTTTCAAAATATCTAAAGTGACCCCTTTGCATAAAAAGGGTGATATTAACCTTCCTGATAATTATCGACCAATTTCTATCATTACGCTAATTGGTAAAATATTTGAACTAATTCTTAAGGAAAGGTTACTCCAATTTTTCGAGTCAAATAGGCTACTGTGTAATGCGCAATTTGGCAATTTGGCTATAGACCTAACCGGTCTACTGTACTGGCTCTATGTGAATTTTATGAAGTTGTTGTGGATGCCTTTGAGAGTCGTCAGTTTTGTGAGGCGAGGTTTTACGACCTGTCAAGGGCATTTGATACGATACGACATGATTTCTTGCTATTAAAATTGAAAAGATATAGGGTTAGAGGCGTGGCTTTGAAGCTTTTTTCGTAATATTTGGAGGAACGAAAGTATTTTGTGAGTGTCTCCGGTCGGAGATCTGCTGAGTACCCAGTTATGTTTCGTGTCCCACAGGGCTCCGTTTTAGGACCCTTGCTATTTATTATATATTTCAATGATTTATGTATGAGTATTAACTCTGATGTGTCTTCCATTTTTTATGCAGATGACTCCACAGTCGTTGTGAAAAATTTAAATGAAAGCAGTGCTTTACAGACCCTTAATTGTTCAGAACGAATGCTAAAGTTTGGTTTCGATGTAATTTCCTTTTTTTAAATGAAAGTTAAACGCCGCATCTCAGTTTGAACCATGCGGAAAAATCTGAGGATAGAGTTAAACTCTTGGGCCTTCATATAGACTCTCAACTAAATTTTTCATTTCACATTCATGATCTAGCAAAACGTCTGGCCGAAGCTTCTTATGCGTTGCGTCAATTAAAATATCAGCTGTCCTTTGATTATTTAAAAATAGCGTACTTTGCTATGTTCCACGGTATAATGACTTATGGTTTGATTATTTGGGAAAGTGCGACTCATGCCAATCAAATATTCATAGCACAAAAAAAAGTCATTAGAATAATTTCTTCTCTAGTGAGTATGACGCTCATTGTAAGCCCCTTTTTAAAAAATTTAACATCATGCCGCTGCCTTGTTGTTATATATTGGAGTGCCTCCTTTATGTTGGGAGCAAAATTTTGGCGAATGAGGTAACCTCAAACTGCCATGTACATAGGTACAGTACCAGTGGTGGTAGTGATCTGCGTCTTCCACTCTTCAGACTAACCAACTCTCATAATTCTTATTTGTATTTAGGTTTTAAAATGTTTAACGCCCTTTTAAAATCCTTTCTTAATGCGTATCTAAGACCTAAGAAGTACCTGAATTCCAAATTTTAGCTTCCTAGGACTTAACAGTAAGGATAAACAGATGAATGAATTTTAAGTGACTTTCACATTCATAAGTATTTATCGTTCAATAATTGACTCTCATCGCCCACTGGTTTATTTATTTATTTCTGTTTATTGACTCCATATATTCAAGTAAATCTTTCGGTGCTGAATATAAGTATGATATTTTTACTCTCCCATATTTGATTACCCAAAAATCACCACTCTTTGAAGAAAAAGTCAACTGAAAATATTTTACCTACCAACCCTAAGCGATGGTACATTTTATGTTTTGCCTGATAAATAATTCATATATTTTCTTGATTATTTTTCCATAATTTGAATGAATTAATTTTTAAAAAACAATCATTATCACTGAAAATATATTGTAATCATTTTCCATTGAATCGCCATTGAATGTCTACCGCAGCCGTAGACGAAACGTCAGATGTAAAAACTGCAAATCACGGCTAACAAACTCGGAAAACAGCTTGGATATCGTTATCTCCGGCCGTGAAACTTCCACACTCTTCATATACAGGGTGTAACTAAATAAGTGTAAAACATTTAAGGAGGTGATTCCTCATCGAAAAAAATATAGGATCTTTCATATAAAGAAATTTCATTGGAGCATCCCTTGTTAAGATAAAGGGGG